ACATTTTGTCTTAGAAAAAAAAAACAGTAGTCTCTAAAAGTATTTTCAGGAATCTTCTAAATTTTCAGGAACTAAGACATAAAGAAAAGTTTGAATCTTGTGAATGACTCTTTCATCGGATCAGGCAGATCATCCGGACAGATTTTCTAAAGCTCTCAGGAACAATCTCTCTTCTATCAGAGATAATTACTCTTAATAACCGTCCCATTAACAAGATGAGGATCATGCATCATTAACACTTTTATATCCTTCATATCTTCATCTCTGAGCGCCTGAGGGAAAGCGAACACGAGTTCACTTCATCCTCCATCTGAACCAGAGCAAACACTCTTTTGAGCAGAGATGGCTTTACAGTCGATATATTTCATTATATTTTCCTGTCGCATGCGTGTTCACGAGAGCGTGGAGTTCCAGCGGATGTTGTAGGGTGTAGGTGTAGTGTAAACTCTGGTGAGAACATGCTAGTCTCGCAACAACCAGGTTTTGTTTACAGCAAAGGAGAAACAGTCTCCTCTTGGCTTATATTGAAATCCTCTGACATTGTTCTTTACAAATCCTCGTTTTGTACTTCTAAATCATGACCTGGTGTTTTGTTTTGCTCTCTCCTCTGCGTGTCCGCATTTGTCACTTCTCACCAGAGCTTGTGCTACGCTTATGTCCTACGTCATCTGCTGGAATGCCACTCTCTCGTGAACGAGTGTACGACAGTAAGCGGAAGCTAGAGATTACGCTTTGTAAAGTTTTAAAGGGGTCATATGATGCGATTTAAATTTTTCAAGCTCTTGGTGCATAAAGAAGATCTGTAAAGTTGCAAAGACTAAAGTCTCAAATCCAAAGAGATATTCTTTATAAAAGTTAAGAGTCAACTACGCCTACCTAAAACGGCTCGTTCTAACACGCCCCCACATATCTACATCACTATGTGGGAAGATTTGCATAACGCCGCCCAAATGTTCACGCAAAGAAAGAAGGCGTAACTTTTATTCTCGCTGTAGTATTGTTGTTGCTGCCGCCGTCATGTCGTGAAGGCGCTGTGTTTCATTGTGAAAGCGAAACTACTTTGGTTGGTCTTCCAAAAGAGGACGATATCTGCTTCTTCATGCCTGGTTCTGATCCGTGCTGGTTGCTGAGGAAATACATCAACTTCGCGCTGTGGATCGCCGGATCGGCTTTCACCGTGGACGATGGATGGATGCACTTTTTTGGTCTTCAAAATCTCGATCCCGCCTTCATTGCCATTATAAAGCTCGGAAGAGCCTACTCTAATTGTATTCATCTGAAAGAAGAAAGTCCAACCTGATCTCCCTGCATTTTGTACATTTTTGACAAGGTGGCTAATTCATATGAATTTGTACGAACTCACACAAATTCATACGATTTGTGAAGAATCGTACATATTTTACAAAGGCGCAAATCCATAGGATTTTTTTTATACGAAAGACCACACCTAACCCCACCCCTGAACTTAACCGTCACAGAAAACATACAAACTCGTAAGAGTGAGGTCGTATGAATTCGTACGAATTTGCCACCTTGTAAAATGCGTACAAATTGTCTGTGAGAGCGCTGGAAAGTCATAAACAACTATGCCTTTAATGAACTTCTCCGTTATGTTTCATTTTTGTGTTAGCTTTCTGATAAGCTGATTTTTACACAAACACGTTCTGACCTTTTTTAACAATTTTGTTTATACCTAACAATTCTGACTTTTATTCTTGCAATGCTGACTTTTTTTTCTCACAAACAGACTTTGTTCTTATAATTTTTAGTTGATATTTCACACTTTTTTTCTTGCAGACTTTTTGACATACAATTCAAAGTTGCAAGATGTAAAGTCTAAATTCTCAGAAAGTCACAATTAACTTTTTTTCATCCTGTGGCAGAAATACTAGCATACTACTAAATAACCTACCTACTAACCAACTAAATACTACTTGATATATATTTTTTAAATGTATATGAGCAATTGTTTTTATATTATGTAGATTTTTTTGTGATTTTTACTTTCATAGTATTTTAATAGCATACATTTGGACTTCTTGTTAATATTAGTAGATTTGCACTACTTATTTTCCATATTTACACTGCTTAAACTAAAATGTATGATTTATGTTTGTTTTAGTTTATATAAAATGTATTTAGTGGTAAACTAAAAGTAAGGGGAAAAAAACATTTGGGTTACTTGCAATAAATAAACATTCAAATAAATGAAATAAAATGAACTGAAATAAAGTAAAATATTAAACAATTTAATTCAGCTCATTGCAAAGGCAACATTTTTTGTTTAGTTTGTAAACAAAATTGATATAAAAATTTATTAAAACTATAAAAATGAGACAAATACACAATGTAATAGTGGAGGATATAAGAAATAAAACCGAATTCAAAATATTGATTAAACGCTATAATAGTCTCAGTGATGCTGAAATAACATTGATTGATTTGAAGTAAAAGTAAACTGACTGAGCACTGATTCCACTCACCCTGAATCAGCTCTAGACGCTCTGAGCTTTAATTGGGACCTGTGGTTTGTTCAGGATCTCTCTGTGTAGCTGTAATTTGCTCTCATTTACGGTGGCTGACGGCTCTCGCCTCATTAAGACTCCAGGAAAGATCTCCAGCAACAACAGCCAAGACAAACACGAAATAAGCCCAACCAGAGGAGACGACGGAGAAAATCAAGTGCATTTATCTTCCTCCTGCGTTCAGAGATTCCATTCGCTTTATCTGTTTAATACAGATTCTTATTATTTGTTCTTTTTTACCCAGAAGTCCCAGTTTTTTTTTTACCCAGTTTTCCAGTGAAACTGTGCCTTAGACTACAGTGATCCATATCTTAAAATTAGATATTTTGTGTGAATATACAGTGTATGTGTGTATACACAAACACACACACACACACACGTGTATATATATATATATATATATATGTGTGTGTGTGTGTGTGTGTGTGTGTGTGTGTGTATGTGTGGCATTTCAGTCATTATCAATGTTTATAACCACTCTCAATGATTTTTATCCCTTTAAAACCTAATGTGAAATCTGCAAAATCAAATTTTTTGAAATGGAACTGTTTATTTAGCCTTTAGACAAAACATTTTTGTTTTTTGCTGAGTATCATACTGGATACAACAGGCTTTTATGGTTCATATGGTATGATATAAGAAGAAAATAGGGAGAAAAAAAAACTTGGTTTTATTCAGAGGCTCAAACTGAGCGAAAATATACAATTTGTTGCATGTATAAAAGTTACTCTTACATTTACTTTATAAAAATCAGTAACGATTTCACAGCAAAAAGATGCAAAGCATGAGCTGAAGGTGCATGTTTGTACAATTATAATATAACAGGCTTTTTACTTACTAAAAAAAGTCTAAACTATCAGTCAGACGAGAGAAGGCATGCAGTTTTGATCATGTTGATCATTTAGAGGATTTAGAAATGCATCAGATATGATACTGCAGGCTTTATAGAGTTGACTATAGCGCAACGCTTGCAGCTTGACAAACAGCACGGAGCAGAAAGTGTTTATGTGAAGACGCGTCTGAGCGCTGTTAACATTAGTAACCTGTCAGGAAAATCAAAGCTCTCAGTCAAAACATTGTAAGGAGGCTGATTTCCCTTTTTTTTCTGTGCTGTGGAAAGTCCCAATGGCCTCTGGTCCTCGGAGCGGCTTCTACAACACAGAGTATGTTCATTAGGAATGATCAAGCGTGTCTGTAATCATCCGTGAGATGTGATCGTTGTTTTCCTGGCCTATTTAAAGTGCGGGGCGGCCAAATTCCCCGATCGGCCCATCAGAGGCGCAGATAAAAGTGCCTCATCACTCGCCTCAGACATGCACTGCATTGTTGGGATTGAACATATGGCCAGAGCTGGCCAGATTACTTAAAAATTCCCTGATGGAAATTGTAGTCAGTAATGTAATCTAGATTACTTATCTTAGGTACTTCTTTTGGATTACTTTTAGATTACTTTTGACCAAACATGTTTGTTTAATTGGGATTATTGTTAAAAATAGAAACAGAGAGATATGTGTTGTTAAATATTAACTTTAAATATCAGGAAGATTGGGAATCCCTGTATCACATAAACTAACAATAATAAACATGAACAATGCAGTGACATGGTCAAAGGCCATGTTTTTTTTTGGGATGAAACAACCCTGAATGGTTAATATGCTTTATAAAAAATCTATCCACTAGTAAACTTCATGCATCGAAGGTTTAATTGCTCCAAACAGGGGTTTCAGCTGTGCATCGGCAGTTTTTAGCAACATGCATAATTGTTCATCTCATACATGGTATAATTTGACTGAGAGGTGTTTTGTCCCCAAATTCAGATGCATGGGTTGCAAATTAATTTACGTGACATTTATATGGCTATTATATATTGTGAATACTCACTGTATTCAATGCAACACGGAATATTTTTTTAAAAGGAAAATTTAAAGGAGGAAAAAAAGAGGAATCAATAAATTTGTAATGCTGGGCAACGATTAATCGCATCCAAAATAACAGTTTTTGTTTACATAATATATGTGTGTGTGCTGTGAATATTTATTATGTATATAAATGCACACACATGCATGTGTATATTTAAGAAAAACATGTTATGTTCATATATTAAATATATTTATATATAATATAAATTATATGAATATAAAAATATACGTGTAAATATTTTCAAAATATATACTGTATATCTTTATATATGCATAATAAATATAACAATACACACACATATTATATAAACAAAAACGTTTATTTTTTATGCGATTAATCGTTGCCTAGCACTATAAATGTGTAATCATGTAATACTTAAAAAGTAACTGTAATCTGATTACGAGCATTTCAAAATGTAATAGAATTTAATTGCAAGTACAACATTTTTGGAATCTGGTTACGAACTCCAGATTACATGTAATCGGTTGCTAGCCAGCACATATGCGAAGGCCACATGGGTTTAATGTATGCTTTCATTTGCATGTGTGTTTGCAGGGTAATCAGGAGGCCAGCAATCCGGTGGACGCGATGGCCCAGACTTACACCCCGCAGTTCGCGCATCCCCCGCAGAACGGCATCCCCGCTGAGTTCACCGCGCTTCCCACGCAAGACTACGCAGGACAGAACCGCGTCCCGGATCACGGCCTGACCCTCTACACACCTGCACAGACCCACAGCGATCTGGCCAACGCCGACAGCAACACGCCAGCCATCAGCAGCAGCAGCAACACAGCACCGGTGCGTCAAACACACTAACTGTGACACTCGTCAACACATCATTTACAGTCAAGCTACTCTTCAGAATGCAATATGTCTTTCTCAGTATTTTGTTCTTGTTTTTCAATACAAGCATTCCTTAATCAAGATGATATCACTTGAGAAGCAAAGTGAAAACTTGTTAGGTACCAATTGATTGCAGTGATAATTTCAAGATATGGAATTTCATTTCAGGAGAGTATATATTGATATATATGACCATGATTTGACATATTTGACAATGATTTTCAATCATTGTTTATAAGTAATGTAGTTAGCTTTTTTTACCCTGTAAAGCCTGACGAATAAAAATAATAGTCATATAATAACTATAATAATAGTCATAGTAATAATAGTCAAATTATATATATATACATATATATTATTATTTTTTTTTTTTAATGGAACAATTAAACCTTTTCATAAAATATTACTTAAGATATTAAGTAATGTTTTCTGAAAAATATATCAAAATGACGTGTGTCTGTGTTGTGTTTTTGGTCATTTTTAGCCTGAGAGGACATTATTTTTTCTAAAGAAAAAAAAAAGGTAGTTATTGGAATCACTTTAAATTAAAACCTACTGATTTTCCTCACAAATCAAAAGTATTATAATTTTTGGTTATAAAATTACAGTTTTATGGGTACCCCCTATATATATATATATATACATATATATATATATATATACTTTTTTTGTGATCATTCTTCCCACTTTGTTATACTTGTGTTCCTGATCAAAAATGACCACCCTACACTCTAAAAAATGCTGGGTTACATATAACCCAGCACTTTTTAGAGTGTATACATTTCTTGTTATGCTAGATTGTTACCAAATACTGGGTTCAGTGTTTTTGTGAACTTTTATTTCAGTCAAAGTCAGTCTTTGAGTTTATCCACAAATAATGTCTGTTTGTTTTTTTCACTCCAAAACTGACGTGCTTGAGCTCAGATCAGTGAGGCCTATAAGTTCCAAAGGAAATACACAACCTGTTCTACGTGAAAGAAAACAAGTTGACAAAAAGATTCCACGACTTGGCGATAATAAAGCATACGCTTTTAAAAGGTGGGTGATTTTTGACCCGTAACACCAAATTAGGTGAAGGATTTTCAGCGTTGCTACCCTTTGGAATAGCGTGCACTGATGAATTGTTCAGTCAAAAAGACCACAAACATGCATTAAGAATATGAATTTGGGTTTCAGCTGCAGATCTTACTGAGTTCACACCAGAAACATCACTTGAACTTCATCTGATGAACCTGTGTCACAGAGCATCTAAAAGTGGACAGGGTTCATCTCCCATAAGTCACTGTAAAATATTGAGATGATGCAGTGATTATGAAGCCATGGAGGAAGCGGTGCATGGGCAGGTGTGTGAGGAGCTGCTGTGTTTTGGGAGTACATGCTCCTCTGTCCAAAATAATGAGGCGAGAGCGAGCGTTTGACGCCACTGTAACGACGTGTCACGCTCGCTGCGGTTTGAATGACATCATCGCTGTCATGTATTACTAGCTCCCGCTCGCAGACAGAGTGACACCGAATAAGTGCCGTGTCTGTTTGCATCATTCCTGCTTCATGCAGTCGGGACGTTAATTGATGTTTCTCAGCTGAAGACCCGTCTAAATACCAGCACTATGTATTCAGTGCATTGGGGAGTGTTAACACGAATGCAGTGCAGTGGCCTGTATGCAGTTCCTGTTGGCAGTTTCATTAGTTTTTGAGGCCTTGCTTAGCATATAGCATCTTAAATAAGCAATGTGTAGTTTTCTCAGCGGTTGTGCTCAGAAAATCGTCTCGTCTTTCTGTAACGCTCTTTCGGATTTCTGCTTTTTCTTTTCCTCCTGGCCCGTTTTCTTTATGCGTGTACATGGTGTAGCATGAATAATTTAGCGTAGCAGAAAGGTGGACACGCTCACTAGTTAATCTCGTTGGGCCGGGTGGATTTCTCTCTCATAGTCTTTCTGTGGCTGATAATGGTTCTCAGATGCTCACAGCCCTGTGCTTAAACCTCATTATAAATGATTATTGTGCTGATGGAGAGTGTGGCTTATTAAAAGTGCTTCTAAATAACTTTATATATTTTTCATTTAGTTTTTTTTATAAATATTTTTTTTATAATTTATTGCTATTGATATTTTATTGCTCTTTTGCTATTTTCTAATTCACAACCGAAATGGGACTTTTTCTTTTATTTTCTTTTCTTTTCTTTTTTATTTTGAACGTTTCAGTTTAATGTCACCATTATTGAAATGAATGTGTTAAGCATTAATCCAATTATATTTAGTGAGGTTTATGCTTACAACAAGAAAAACGAATTACTACAAATAAATACATTTGATAGATTCAAAGCAAAAATGTTTTGTTATTCTTGTGCTGACCATAAATTGAACAACATTTAGTGAGGTTTATGCTTACAACACACCCTGTTGACGAATTTGTTTAGTTTTTCGTTTGTTAAAGGGGTCATCGGATGCCCATTTTCCACAAGTTGAAATTATCCTTTAGGGTCTTTAGCCATTTATGTTTTTAAGATACTGAAAAAAACACAAATGTCAGGGCATGTCAAAACTTCTCCAGGGCCCCAAAACACCCTCAGACCCCAGAGGGTTAATGAAAATTATATAACATACTTTGGTTAAAATTTCTCAATGGTAGTGTATAACAACACCCTTTTTACCCTGTCAAAAACAGCTCTGTTCACAGCGATCCGTTTCGGTGCACGTGCCTTTAAATGATAATGAGCTCTGCTGACCCCGCCCCTCTCTTCCGTGGGGTGAACATTTAGCGGTGGAACTTGCTAACCAGCACTTTATTAGGAAAGGTGATTTGCAAAGATTCATAAAAAACCTTATACTCACTTCTTCTGTGGGTGAAACTGGATCATGAATGATTTGCGCAAACATAGAAGCATTTATGTAGATCGGGGGCGCATTCCCTTCAGAAACAAGCATAATCCTCTGCGTCTTCAGCGGCTCAGATGTCGGGAGTAAATGACGACTGCTATGTTCATTATTACATCCTACAAAAGAACACCTCAATCGCTTATGAGTCATTCTTGTCTACTCCGACTCGAAACAATGGCGGACTGATGACAGCTCACTCAGGGCGGGTCTAAGGTAAAGCGCCAGTGTCAATCAACAATCGTGGGAGTGGCCTGGGTCTGTGTGACGTCACACAGCCAAGAATCTGAGAATGGCTTGATCTGAGACAGTTCTCATGATTTATTGGGATTCAAGAAAAGCGCTGGGTGGATTTTTATCATTAAAATGTGGATGCGTACACACACTGCCAACGCACATTTATGTTCAAACAACATGCAAAAGTAAATTTTGCGTCTGATGACCCCTTTAAGCTTAAATCTAACCATTTAGTAAGAATTATGCTTATAAGAAGATTATTAGATAGAAAGAGAGATAAAGCTAAGTCATTGTGTGCTATTAACCTCCACACGTCTCCACGCGGCCCTGGGGGACGAGCGTCCTCCCATTACCAGTGCAGTGAGGGCGGGAGGGGGAGGAGCGGGGTTGGTGGCCCCCGTCTTCACCTGCGGCCCCAGAAACACACTGGCAGAGCGATGGAGTCAGACAGCTGTCAGTGAGAACAGTGCGTGTCAGAGCGCAGGCGAGAGCCATAAAAGAGCACAAACGAGCCTCGTTATTGCCGGGACAGTGATTATCATAATGGCAACAATAAAGCCGACGGTCGTTACGCTGGTGATGATGATGGTGATGATGATGATGCTGGGGTGATTAATGCTGGGAGATAAATGAGAACGATGTATCACACTCCTCCCTACAGCGGAGCAGCACGTTGAGTGTGTGTGTAATGAATGATGTACTGCATGTGTCTGCATGCACATACGTGTGATCATAAATCACGCGCCGCATGACTCCACGCCAGCACCATTATTTTGAACGTTTCAGTTTAATGTCACCATTATTGAAATGAATGTGTTAAGCATTAATCCAATTATATTTAGTGAGGTTTATGCTTACAACAAGAAAAACGAATTACTACAAATAAATACATTTGATAGATTCAAAGCAAAAATGTTTTGTTATTCTTGTGCTGACCATAAATTGAACAACATTTAGTGAGGTTTATGCTTACAACACACCCTGTTGACGAATTTGTTTAGTTTTTCGTTTGTTAAAGGGGTCATCGGATGCCCATTTTCCACAAGTTGAAATTATCCTTTAGGGTCTTTAGCCATTTATGTTTTTAAGATACTGAAAAAAACACAAATGTCAGGGCATGTCAAAACTTCTCCAGGGCCCCAAAACACCCTCAGACCCCAGAGGGTTAATGAAAATTATATAACATACTTTGGTTAAAATTTCTCAATGGTAGTGTATAACAACACCCTTTTTACCCTGTCAAAAACAGCTCTGTTCACAGCGATCCGTTTCGGTGCACGTGCCTTTAAATGATAATGAGCTCTGCTGACCCCGCCCCTCTCTTCCGTGGGGTGAACATTTAGCGGTGGAACTTGCTAACCAGCACTTTATTAGGAAAGGTGATTTGCAAAGATTCATAAAAAACCTTATACTCACTTCTTCTGTGGGTGAAACTGGATCATGAATGATTTGCGCAAACATAGAAGCATTTATGTAGATCGGGGGCGCATTCCCTTCAGAAACAAGCATAATCCTCTGCGTCTTCAGCGGCTCAGATGTCGGGAGTAAATGACGACTGCTATGTTCATTATTACATCCTACAAAAGAACACCTCAATCGCTTATGAGTCATTCTTGTCTACTCCGACTCGAAACAATGGCGGACTGATGACAGCTCACTCAGGGCGGGTCTAAGGTAAAGCGCTGAAATCGCATCATATGACCCCTTTAAATTAAATAAGCTTACGGTTTTATGTTATTCCAGTTCAGTTAATGTTTATTTTATTTTAAGTAACAAGAACTGTTTTTTATGCTTTTAGTTAACTATAATAATGCTGCAAGTCACATTTGAGACCTGCAGCAGACGAGTTTTTCAGTGAATAATGATTTAAATGTGTGCCCGTTTCTGCTCTCATGAAGCATCATTAGCAATTGCACTTGCAATATTTCTAGCAATAAATCATACAGGATACTTTCATGTTTTCGTGAGATTTGTCAAATTACTGGCAGAACTGACTGCATGTATTTGCACGCGTGCCTCACACAGTGTGTTTGTATGTGTGTGTGTCTCCGTTATGAACTGATGTAATAATGTTGGTGCTGTGTGTTGATGTTTTGATGAAGCTCTGGGGAGATTTGTTGATGTCGTTGCCATTGTGTGTACATGCATATGTGTGTGTGTGTGTGTGTGTGTGTGTGTGTGTTTGAATGAATCTGAACATTTTTGCACGCGTGCCTCACACAGTGTGTTTGTATGTGTGTGTGTGTCTCCGTTATGAACTGATGTAATAATGTTGGTGCTGTGTGTTGATGTTTTGATGAAGCTCTGGGGAGATTTGTTGATGTCGTTGCCATTGTGTGTACATGCATATGTGTGTGTGTGTGTGTGTGTGTGTTTGAATGAATCTGAACATTTTTTACCTCAATGATGACATTCTGATGACATGCTGCTGTAAGCGAGCACATGAAAATGAGTGTGTGCGTGTGTGTGTGTGTGTGTGTGTGTGTGTGTGTGTGTGTGTGTGTCGTTCTGCTCGACTGAGCTAGCGGAGAGAGAAAACATCTGTCACACGCGTCTGAAGTTTCATTTGTGGCGGATCATCAACATAATGATGGAAACAACAAGCCAATGGCCTCCCCATATGACATTAGCATTAAAAATGACACTATTACAGCAATGGGGATATAATGAGAATCATCAATGCGAACTATAAACAAACATATGCATTACAGTAATGAGATTTTGGGGTGAAAATGTGTTTGTTGGCTTTTTAATTTGTGTCAGTGCAATGCAGTAGTATTAAAATAAGGTTTAATTTTGTCGTGTGTTTTTGTGATATCTTTTTTTTTTTTTGGCACGCATGCATTTGTGAGAACCAGTAGTATTTGAAATGTACAAGTGACCAGTGTTATTTTAGTACAACTTTGATTACATTTTCCATTATTAAGATGTTTTTAACCTCCATCCTCTATTCATGATATTGCTTTCTGGACCACAAAACCAGTCATAAGGCGATATTTTTTTTTAATTGAGATTTATGCATAGATTTATATCTAAAAGCTGAATAAATAAGCTTTCCATTGATGTATGGTTTGTTAGGATAGGATAATATTTGACTGTATTTACAAGTATTTGAAAGCCTGGAATCTGAGGGTACAAAAAAAATCGAAATATTGAGAAAATCGCCTTTAACTTCTCCAAATGAAGTTCTTAGCAATGCATATTACTAACCAAAAATGAAGTTTTAATATATGTACGGTAGGAAATTAAAAAACATATATTCATGGAACATGATCTTTACTTAATATCCTAATGATTTTTGGCATAAAAGAAAAATTACAGTGTCAATCAACAATCGTGGGAGTGGCCTGGGTCTGTGTGACGTCACACAGCCAAGAATCTGAGAATGGCTTGATCTGAGACAGTTCTCATGATTTATTGGGATTCAAGAAAAGCGCTGGGTGGATTTTTATCATTAAAATGTGGATGCGTACACACACTGCCAACGCACATTTATGTTCAAACAACATGCAAAAGTAAATTTTGCGTCTGATGACCCCTTTAAGCTTAAATCTAACCATTTAGTAAGAATTATGCTTATAAGAAGATTATTAGATAGAAAGAGAGATAAAGCTAAGTCATTGTGTGCTATTAACCTCCACACGTCTCCACGCGGCCCTGGGGGACGAGCGTCCTCCCATTACCAGTGCAGTGAGGGCGGGAGGGGGAGGAGCGGGGTTGGTGGCCCCCGTCTTCACCTGCGGCCCCAGAAACACACTGGCAGAGCGATGGAGTCAGACAGCTGTCAGTGAGAACAGTGCGTGTCAGAGCGCAGGCGAGAGCCATAAAAGAGCACAAACGAGCCTCGTTATTGCCGGGACAGTGATTATCATAATGGCAACAATAAAGCCGACGGTCGTTACGCTGGTGATGATGATGGTGATGATGATGATGCTGGGGTGATTAATGCTGGGAGATAAATGAGAACGATGTATCACACTCCTCCCTACAGCGGAGCAGCACGTTGAGTGTGTGTGTAATGAATGATGTACTGCATGTGTCTGCATGCACATACGTGTGATCATAAATCACGCGCCGCATGACTCCACGCCAGCACCAGCCTGTGTTTCGCATGTATAGAAGAAAAGAAAAAAACAAGGTGAAAAACAAGGTGAATGTCAGGAAACTTGTAAGGAACATGTTCGGCTCATATTTCACTCCAAAATCAAAAGAAACAATAAGAAAGAAAAATGTATAAATTCCACCAATTCTCCTTTCTGTAATGTCAATAATAATAATAGTAATAATAATAATAATAATATATGATCATTTAATTTAAATCATGTTCAGGTCACATTTCACCCTGAAATCAAAAGGAAAATAAATAATTAATATTTTCAGAACATTTATTTTCATGACTTTTATCCACATTTCCCGATTTCTAATTTCTGTAATGCAGAAGAAAAGTATAAATAATGTTATTTAAATGACAGGATTTGTAGTATTTTTTATATGCCATTAAGTTGCTGATTTAAAAAAAAAATCATATGTAACAGTACTTTTTATGACATTAGCATTAAAAATGACACTATTACAGCAATGGGGATATAATGAGAATCATCAATGCGAACTATAAACAAACATATGCATTACAGTAATGAGATTTTGGGGTGAAAATGTGTTTGTTGGCTTTTTAATTTGTGTCAGTGCAATGCAGTAGTATTAAAATAAGGTTTAATTTTGTCGTGTGTTTTTGTGATATCTTTTTTTTTTTTGGCACGCATGCATTTGTGAGAACCAGTAGTATTTGAAATGTACAAGTGACCAGTGTTATTTTAGTACAACTTTGATTACATTTGTATTATTAATTTTAATTAGTTTTTGTTTTGTTTTGTTTTCATATTAATTTCATTTTAAGTTTAGTCATTTTGTTCTGTGGTTTTCTTGTTTTTTTTATTATTTTTTTTATTTATTTTTTTAGTTAAGTACATAAAGTTAAACTAAACAAAATGAGAAATGCTGAAAATGTTATTTAAAGGGGTCATATGATGCTTTTTTTAAAGATCATTATTTTGTGTATTTGGTGTAACAGAATATGTTGACATGCTTTAATGTAAAAAAAAAACACATTAGTTTTCAAATACTGTACATTATTGTAG